ATAGAGAGAGAGAGAGAGAGAGGGGGGGGAGACGAACACGATAGAGACGGCGACGACAGGCAGGACAAGACAAGTAGATGGTACAGATAACGGAGAACATGAACAACAAGAAGAAGCCAAAAAAAATAAAATAGAGAAGGAAAAGGAGGAGGAGGAGGAGGAGGATGTCGCAGAGGGCGGCGGTAAGAAAGTCCCCCTCGGGCCCTCTGATGAGATTGGAAAACTGTAATCTGTCCGTGTTGTCAGCCGAGTACGGGATTCGAGCCCCCCGGGAGGATATTTAGAATCTGGTTTTGTGCTGCAAAAGGCCAGGCTGAACACAGATATTTCCAAATCAAATCTGGCCGTAGGCGATATAGCGCGAAACAAGCCCTGGATTATTTCCCCTTAAAAAAGAGGGGCTTCTTTTTTCTTACTGTGTGGGCCTACTTCATTAAAATAGGTTTCTCTCCGAAGGCATTTCAGAGCCCCTGAGATAATACTACTGAACAAAATCAAATGTAATTTAGCCGGTTCGAATAAGACTGACTTCTTGGCCTTCACAGAAAAAAGACAGTCTCTATATGAAGTGACCTAGTAAATTCGAGTTGCTGTTTCTTAACTTTAAATTTTTGTAAGAATTTTTACAGCATTTTCATCACGAATAGGTCATATTATAATAAGTGTAGAGGATTAGGGGTGTTACAAGAAAGTAACAAAACAAAGAAGAGAAATTTAGATTTAGCACGGTGAACGTTTTATTTTTAGAGAGTTTTACAGCATTTACAACACAAAATAGGTCACGTACGTGCCGAAGATTAAAGGTGTTACTACAGAGAACCAGTAAAAGAAAAGAAGGAGGAGAGATAAGAAAGACAGCTGATAATTGAGGGGGAAGAGGTAGCCAACCTTTACATTCCAGCGAGTAAGACAGTGTGGTGAACTATAATCGTCAATGTCAGTTTCAAATATGGCTTTTGAAGAAAACCAAGACATAATAGATCGAGTTTAATTCAGGCATGGGCTCACGGGCCACATCTACACAGCGAGCAGTTTCAGATGAGTCTATCCAGTTATTAATAATCACTGTAGCCAAATGTAAGTTGATGAATCATTTAAAAAACCTTAAAAAACAACATCAAACAAACAAAAATTGAGCGTGAAAACATAAATCAATAGTTTTTCCAAACCCAGTTGAAAGCAAAGGAACTAACATTATGTTATCGGGCTAAATCAGCACCTGGACATGGATGGCTGGAGCCTCTATAAATAAACTACTGATGGTCAAAGTATTATGTCACCTCACGAAATGCCTTTGAGTGACTTATCCCATGCAATGGCACGGTTGTGAAATTGTTCTGTATTGGTGTAATATTGTGTATTTTTTAAAGTAAATGTGTATGTATTTATGTATGTATGTATTTACTGATAATAATGTACTTATGCATATATCTATGTATGGTTGTATGGTTTCCATTGTAAACCAAATTGCCCTTCTGTAATTAAAAAGAATGTAATTTATTTATTATAATTTATAGTGTCCGTTTAAGTCTCACTTTTGGAAGCTCCGCCATTTCAACCAACGTCACCCGACTGGGTCCTTCTCTTAGCTCACGAAAAAATATCCCTAATCGGTTAAATCGTCCCGCGACTTGGACACACGCCGAGAGACTGTAAACATAGTATTTACAATTGGTCGCTTTTAAGCACAAAGGGGTTATCCCCCCAAAAAGCTGTTTTTGGGAAAATCGAAAGGAAAGTTTCTGTACCCTTGTTCAGTTTCTTTAAAAGACAAGGCAAGTTTTCTCTATAACCAAACAAATATACACACCAATAAAATCAAAACTCTCCTACAGGTAGGGCAACGTCCACTTTTGGTATATGTCAAGATTTCTGGAAACCCCCGAAATCTGGGTTAGCCTGCTGGTCCTTAAAAGCGACCAATTATTGGACACGCCTGCCCATGCCTGGTTTAATAAATAAAAGAATGCACACCTGGTGGTGTGTAAGTGAAGAAGCCAAAAGGTGGCGTGCCGGTGTCTGATTCACAGCACACCGTGTTCACAACACGTGAGTCATCATGTCCCCAGGGAATGGACTCGAGGGCAAAGTCGAGGGCAAAACTGCACGGATTTCAAGAGTGGCTTTATAAATAAATTATCAACGGGTAATGAAAGGATTCAGGGCAGATACATGTTCTAGTATTGTTAGCTAGTGCAATACACCTTGCACACTCGCCAGGCTATTTGAACAGCACTGGCAGTTCAGGTAATTGGGATGGGCAGCAGTTTTTACGTCCCCATCGAAGGAGTTTAGACAATAAAAGTTGGCGGACTACTTCAACCCTGGCTATACAGGCCAGCTCAGGATGAGTGAAATACACCACGCCAGCAGGCATACGGAGACACTGGATTGGCTTAATTATTTTTTAGATTTTTTTTTTTGGTAAGTGCTTTACGGAGTTGCAACTGCATAAGGTCATATAAGCGCACCGGACACATGAAATATTTTCAGTTGGAAGGAAATTTTGAATTTTGCCCGTGTGGCGGCCGAGGCCTACTCCTACTGACTTTGGACCACAAAGGGATCTTTAACATGCGCAAGTTGCACACGGGACTTCCAAAATTGTTTGCCCTTGTCCCAGAAGTCTAGATGTAGATCTTTCCTACAGGAAGATCAGGGGTGTGACTGAAAGACAGTAGTAAGAAGGAGCCAAGGAGTAGCAGGTAGAAAGGCTGCAGAAAGAGTCAAGAAGTCCAGAGGAGGGGGCAAAGGAGGTGAGGGGTTGAGGGCAGAAAGTGAAGATGAAAGCAGACGACATAACATTATTAGAGAGCAGGAAATGATGTGAAAGGAGAGTTTGAGAGAAAAAAAACAACTATCCGTCGCTTCCCGAATTCGAACCCGGGACCTTTTGAATGAGAAGCGAACACCTTAACCTCTAGGCCACGAAAGCCACCACGGATTGACTCTTGGTATACGGAAATAGAGCAAATCTACAATACACTTGCCATGTAGCGAGGCAAGAACCGGCGTCTATGCTGTTGTGGTTATGCGCTTGCCTTTTGCACGCAAGAGAACCTGGTTCGATATCCCGAGAGAGGAGAATCTTAAATATCAAGTATCGGTCGTTCTGCAGGAATGTTTTCATCCTCTTAGCCCAGGTTGGCCCTGAGAGGCAGGGTCAAAGGGCGCCTCCTAATTAATCAAATTTTTGTCCTTGGAAGAAAAACAAACAAACAACAACAACAAACCTATCTAAATTGAAAAGGACCGGACAAGATAGACAAACTGATACAGTAGAAGGAAAAGAACATAATCAGGACTCACCAGTGGTGCCCTTTAACTATCCGCTCCGCAAGTTTATCGTGACCGAAAGGCGATTCTGAAGATAAAACAGAAAAAAAGAAACGTTTATAATAAAAATTAAATTAAAAAACCAACAATACTGCGTGACAATGACAAATACAATAATAACAATGAATAATAAAAAATAATAGTA